AGAATGATCAGGCGCAATCCAACCAAGATCACCAGTGTTCAGCCATCCATTCTCATCAATAGCGTGTTTTGTTGCCAACGGATTCTAACAATAATTTACACAATAATGATGGTTAACCAACACTGCAAGTGGAATAAAATTCCGGAGTAACATATACAGCAGAAAAGTGACTGCCTATCAAGCTACTGAAGGCAAAACATGCTTTGATGTTTTTCGTAAAGACGAACAGTAACAAGGAAGCTCTTTTATAAGTATTGCTGAAAAAGCAACAATAGGAGAAATGGAGTACTTACAATTCATAGGATTCGACTGATCAAGCTATTGCATTGCATTGCATTAACAGGTCGAACTAAGAGGAACTGTAGAATTCATTACGCTCAAACAAAAATTTATGCGCTAACCTTATAGTAGCCCTTCATTACTAGTGGCCCTCTGGCTTTGACAATGCCCCTTGAGCCAGGAGGAAGGACCTCATCTGTTTCAGCATTTACAATTTTTACTTCTACATGCCGAATGGGATGCCCAACTGAGCCAAGTACCTTCAGAGATTAAATCGATGACTGTGTTATATGAATATCACATTCAGAATGTGCATACTTAAAGCAAAGTAGTGATAGAAACTAGCCTATGAATATGTAAAACATAAATCGCATTTTTCTGTGGTGGTAAGCAACAAATGTGCCATATGAATAATTTCACGTGATGGTTGTGGTATTATGACATCTTTAATAGATATAACCAATGGTCCGTGAAGCCTGTGAATTTAATACTTCACCAAATTCAAAAGAGTACTTTAGGAAAAATGTTTTTTCAGCGTACCTTGATGAATGAACTGCTTGAAATTTTTGCATCATAAAAATGTTAATACTCTTATATCAATAGCAGTTAAATTATTGGCAACTATATTCGTGATTGCTAGATTCAGAGGGAAGTGATCTTTTATCAGCATACAGAGGAAAGTATTTTAATTTACTTCACGTCTTCCACCAGATTCCCACATAAGAATTTATAATGCACGGCTGTAGAAAGATGCTTACAAGCTCAAGGCACTGCTCTATACCAATATCATACAAGGTATCTCTATGAGAAACTTCAATGTCGGAGCAGAAGTTGAATTCTTTTGGTTCTATATGTAGAGGATACAGTACTCACATTACACGCAAGATGACGGGCAGAAATCACGGGAGATGACTCAGTCAGACCATATCCATTCTGAATCTTTATGCCAATTGCCTAAGAATTACCAAATGGCATGTAAGAAAGGAGCGCGAATCGAATTGTCTACTAACAATAGTTAAGCCTATAAGAGCTACTAACCTCAAAGAACTTGTCAACATGTGAAGAAAGACTACCACCTCCACTTACGCCAGCCTGTAAAATATAAAAGGAAGGTAATCTACTGTCATCACAATCTAGTGGACCTAAGTCACGTTGGGCCATGCAAATATAAATAACAGCAAAATATTAGCAATCTTTACAGAAAAGAGCAGGATGTGGCTGTTAACAAGGTGTCAAAAGATGAAAGTTTACAACTATGCAATTGGAAAAACAACAGCACGAGAACTTGTAAGCTATTTTCTGCAACCTTTTCTAGTTATTTCCACTCACATTGACATGAGAGTATGTGTATTTGTCTCCAACCTTTTCAAATTATTTCCACTCACATTGACATGAGAAAAACTTTCATCTTCTCACTTCTAAATTTCTTATTTTACTTTCTTTCTATTTCTAAACATACTTTGTCCTACTGATGTTGCAAGTTTATCCTGTTACCTCTTCTATTTTCTCTTGATACACCCTATTTGCATCAAAAATTTCTTTGTATCGTGGATATGTATAGTGTACCTAGCTCGCCCATGTTTTAATAATATAGGGAAAATGGCAGAAGTTAAACAATAACGCATCAACCTTCGAATAGAACACCAGAAGTCACAAACAGTAGCATATCCGACCTTTGAAATACCAATGCTTGCGTGTATTTTACTGTAAACAATTTTCTTCGCCAGCATATGCAGCGGCCATAATATAGCAGCAATAGTTCTAGCCCACAACCAGTCGAGCAATGATACAATATATGAAGGTTGCTTGGTGTCCTTCATTAAACATTCCCCCTGCATAAGAGACCGTGATATAAAAGAGTAAATCTGATTATCTAAGCAAAACTCTGCTTATTCACTACAATAACGGTGCATATAAGCTGAAACTATAGTACAATAATATCAGGAATTAACCTCGTAAATCCTTTTTGCCTCCATGTAAGTCATACTGATCCTTAAAAATAATAGGGCAATGAGTTTACTAGCAGCAGAGTTTGAATTGATCTGCTTTAGAATTCCACTGTAAAGTTCATAAACAGTCGTGTATCATTTAATAATATAGAATAATAAAAAATGATTACCTGCAGATATTTCAAGAAAAAAATGCCATAAAGCACAAATTTCCAGCAATTTAAGAAACGAGAAATTCAAAGGAATGAGAAAATAATTTATCAAATGCACAGTGACATTTGTAGAAGAATTTCCATCATATTCAAGCGGCAAAATTGTTTCAAAAGATTAAGGGAACAAGGAGATTTATAGCAGATGTTTTACTCAGTATTTCTTCAGAAAACACCTTGGCAGACAAAGTACTACCGTCTTTTATCATTCAGAAGGTTACCATTTTCCATTATCAGCATGCAACTGATTTTCTTTGTTGTCCCAGAAAAAATGTATTTTTTAGAGGAAGAGTTTCTATGAATTAGACAAGAAAAGTTCCCCAGAACACAGTCTTAGAATAGCCATCCACATTAAGGACATACCTGTATAATGTCTCATAAACTAAAGGAACACTTATCAAGTAATGTGGCTGATAACGCCGCAAATCTTCCTACAACAGTAAGAAGGTTGCTGAGGCAGTGGTAACAAAGATTAATAGTCAAAGTACCATAAATTTAAGGGGACAAAATATTAGGGCATAGATCAGATCAATGTTTTAGATTCTCTCAAAACATCATTGGCGAAATAAGGGGTTTAGATTGACTACAAAATGGAAACACACCTTCAAATTTTTCACAGTTGTGTACACTTGCTCTGTTCCATGTGTGAATATGAAATATTCACAAGCACGCTCATATGCATGCCAAGGCGGAAGCATGCTTAGAAATCTGTCCCCAGGTACAGCAGGTACAATCTCCCCCAGATTCAAAATCTAACAAAGAGAATGCAGGGATGTCAACTACTTTATGTACCCAAATACTAGCAGTCCAGCATACTTATCGATACCACAGATACTTTTGGAAGTTAAAGAACATGGATGCTTGGATATTAACACGATACTAAAAGATGGGAAACCAGCCAAACAAAAGATCAATCAGAAAATAATAGCAACAGCAAAAAACATTATTTTCTATATATAATGGTAATCATAAGAAAACAGGCACTCATTCAAGTAATTAGGATCGCCAAGAAACATTTCTTGTTGGTTTTAGTTTCAAGCTGCTTTTACGGTGATTTATCCCGAATGTATTATGATTCTTTCTGGTGACATTTTGGTGACATTGTGACTCTTTTTATGTGACCGTTCTGCTGGCACCGCGCCTCTTTATAGTGATCGCTCTGGTAGAACCACGACTCTTTCTAGTGAGCGTTCCAAAGGTAACACATTTGTTCTCAGTGGCTTTTATGGCGTTACCGCTAATCGCCTCTCATGAACACTTTTTTAGAAACATTTAAAGCTATATATTCTCCAAAACATTTTCTCTTGAGTTTGGATATTGAGTCCATTTTCTGGACATTAAATTTTTGAACATTGCCCTGACAAGTTTTTCGATTACTCTAAGCTTCCAATTCAAGCAATTCTAATGATGTTCTAAAGATTTGTGTAATTGTACCGCTTCGGGAGGAGTAAGAAAAGATCCATTTCCATATATGTTACAAGAAGCACTTTCTTTACACAATGACCATCAACTTTCAGGGGAAAAGAATTCCAGCACTGCTTTTCTTTTGGTGATTGTTCATTATTCTAACAACCCTACTCGGACAGTTGTTCATTATTCAGGTATTTTTTAACAGTTCTTATGGGAAATAAGTAAACCACGTTTCACCACCTTGAGTTTGAGGGCTTCTGAAAAAAAGAAAATTATTAAATATATGGTAGAGTATCCTCGATGATAATGTCATAACTAAGAATTCAGAAATAGGATTCTTTCTTTAAAAAGCCTATATAAGGAGCCCACTTAGTAGTTAACCTACAATTCGGCAAGAGGTTTTTTCTCTTTTCTTTCTCTTTCACATAACTAAACATCACTTCTCCACCAAACTTTTTCTCATTGACGCCTTTCTCCAAGGGTATTTTATTCGGTTTTCTGCAAAAAAATCGCAAGAGTACAGAACCTATTGAAGCGCAAATTTCAAGATGACATAGCGCTCAAGTTCAAAGACAGATTGGTCCATCTATCCTTTTCCCCGATTTTGTACCTCAAGTTAATAGCTTCTTTTCAGAACCAAGATCAGATAAACAAGATAAAGGGTAATAAGACACTAATGAACCGATAAAAATTAGCTACAACTACAGAATTCTTAGCACCAGAGTAAATGTACAAGAGCAAACCTGGTGAAGCAGATTTTTATGCGTAAGCATGACACCTTTTGGATTACCGGTGGTTCCACTGGTATAGACAATTGTAGCCACATCATCAGAGTTGATTGCCTCAAATGAATATTGTTTCCCTAAAAGATTATTTTGTTAGTTACAGATATTCTCCCCAATGGGAACTACATTAGTGAAAAGTGCAATTTCAGAATCGAAGACAAAATAAAACTGTTGCCAAACTGAATTATCGCATTGAGAACATAACTTAGATACATATCACTGCTAAAATATATAGTGATTACAAACTAGATATCGACCTCATCCCCAATATGGAGGCTGTAACAGAAATAGAAAGGATAAAAAACAGAGTTGCTCTAATATCCACAATAGATATTAGTAATCAATTCTCACCGGCCAAACGTATTTGAAAACACAAAAATTCCTACTAGCTTGATGAACATGTCCAAAAATTCCATAAAATACGGGGTTACATTTCGACAAGGTAAAAGGTAAGCAGCAGGCCAAATTGTTATGATAGAATTAGCATGAGCTTCAGGATATTGATTTCTACACTGAAGCATCGAAATTTAATCTACTAAGTAATAATTTATTGTGTTTACATCAGGAAGGAGTTATCCTTGGCGTTAGTATCTCGGAGAACTCACAGACATAACATGTACAGGAAAAGAGTCGGGAAGATAAACTTGCAACTTGAAGTCGATACTTCTTAAGAGAACTATGTTCTAAGAAGATGATAAAGAAAAGTAGAGAGGAAAGAAAGAGCAAAATTACCAGGTTTATTCTAAATGCAGGATAATGAGTCAAGGAAATTCTGTTGTTTGAAGAAAAGAAATCACCAATATATCATCTCAGGAAAACACTAATTAGTTTTAAGCAAGAAATATTTTTTTAATTAAATTATGTCTCTTACAGTAAATGTCTTACTGGCATCTTCAGAATCAAGCAGATCCACACGACTCTTGTGACCCAATTCTATAATCTCCTTATAAGTATATACAGGATATCCCTGCACGGCTTCTCTTCCAAGGCTTGATTTCTCGCCCCAAAGTAAAATAGCAAATCGTACAGCTGTGTGGGAACCAAAGGTGTCTGAAATCCGGTTGTACATCTCAGGATTGTCAATAGCAAGAGCGACACTGGCAAAATGCATGCAGAAAAAATAGGCTACTTCGTCAAATCGATCACACTTGCTGGTGTAAACTAAACAACGAGAAACCCATGATTCTATAATCTGTCCACAAATGAGCAGAAGAAGTAACATGCTCATTAACATGTTAATTAGAACAACCAACCAAATCTTAATGCACAAGAACATCTGCACTAACCTTTCAGAGTGGCTGTATAATTGCAATAGCTCTTGATTTGATGACCTTGAACCCCTCACAACGTTGATAGCCCCACTCGCCATCGTACCTAAAGGGAATTAGACATTTTTACACCAGAGCTTCCACTTAAATTGAACATAATTTGGACTGTGATCATAACAACAAAAGAAAACCACAGTACATATAGTAGTCCTTTGGAATAAGCCCATCAGTGAATAAGCAACCCCATTTACCATCTCGCTGACATGCTTGAGTTCAATTTATTTTACAGGAAAGCATATTAGCTGGACCTTACGATGGTAAATGGTGATTTTGTAGGTTTGCAATAGACGAGCGCATGTGAATAACAGCCTGCTGACTTGTACCCTATTTAAACAAGCTAACTCAGAAGCTTGCCACTTGGCAGCTGTTCAGTATCTCATTTTCGAGCGATTTGAGAACTCAAATCCTGGAGATAACCAAGCAACTACCACCCCTCAATGGATGAGCTGAAAAGTAGCACCTTCGTTCTCCAGGATAATGAGTAAAAAAAAATGGTTAAACAGGCAATTACCAAGGTGGAAGATGAAATGCATGTTATTGATTCCTTCCCTAATATGAGAATTCCTCTACAGAACTCTGAAGTAAGGAAAAACTGGGTACTTCTCCCATTATATTTTCAGAATTGTGTGCGCTTTCAATTGATAATTTGGTTCATGCATTATTTTGATTATGAATGTAGTATTTGTTTACTACTGCTAGCCAGTCATTAAGTCCTATAACAGGTAATTTATCAAAAAAAAAAAGATTGTCCTACTACAAATAAACTAGGGTGTTCTTTTGAAGGGTAAAAGAAAACAAAGCACGAACGTAATTCATTGATTCGAACGATGTGCCATCTTTAGGGGATTTCTCCGTTACCAAAAGAAATACTCTAGGGGTTTGGCCTAGTGGCAAGAGCACAGTCTGTGACGTATGGGTTGGGCACACAACACGGGTTCAAACCTTGCCGCAGACAAAAGCTTGGAATTTGAATGGAGGAGGATAAAGGGGTCAGCCCATTATCCACCAAATTCCGAACGGGCCACCGACCTCAAGATTTTCTCGGTTATAAGAAAAGATGAAAAATAATTCAAGCACTTTAAGTTCAAGTTATGTACATGATATATTTCTTGAGACATAATGGATAGAAACAGTTAAATGGTCAAAAAGTTGGTGTTATATATGCCCTTCAGCATAAGGGCAGCCCAGTACACAAAACATCCCGCATTCACACAGGGTCTGGGAAGGGCCGCACCCCAAGGCGTGTGATTAGACAGCCTATATTACTGCATTAGTGCCTGTTTCCACGGCTAGAACCCATGACTTATTTGTCCTTCAACATACAAACTAATATTATCATAGTTTAATCGCAAAGATGGTGCTTCCAACTTCTGCCTGCTTATGTAGAGGGTTCAACTCTTTCAAGAAGCCAGTATACCCTTATAATTAATGAGCGAATAACCTAAAATTCTTTTGTCTTTTTCATTAGCAGATGACCATTTTCATGATCCATAAGTTTTACATGTGCATTTTAGGTTCAAGCCATTTATGATAATCAAGGGCTTTAATCCAAGTACCTAGGATTATCCTAATCTGCAAAAGAGCATGGGAAATTTTTTGAAATTCGAAAAGAAAACAGGAAAAAGAAAGAAAAAAGTAATACGTAATAAATTAAGCTAAAAGTTACTGGTTTATAGGATCTGCAAAATAGGGTGAATTGATTTACCTTGATCTGCAACAAGCCATCGACATGAATTATCAGCAAAAAGCGCAATCTTCTCATTTGGGTTTAGCCCAACAACTCTCAAACCTTCAGAGAAATCCACAATCTCCTGATAAAGCTGCATTTTTTGGCAATGCATTTAGAAAAAGTACTATGGATAGAATAGGAGAGCTAATAACATAGTTAAATGCACTTAATTTCTCCGATTAGCTAGTCGCCTTCTTGCAAAAAATTTATTATGTAGTAACTACAAAAACCATGCATCCAATTACACCAAAACAGATTTTGACTAGGGAGACAACCAGGGGCAGAGCACGTGTTTCAGTGATGGGTTCAGCGAACCCAGTAGCTTAGATCCTAAACTCTTTATTTGTCTTTAGAAATTCATTGAATATGTAAAAACTAATTTAGAACCCAATAACTTAAAAAGACTAGAATCCCCAACCCATAAGTTTCAAATCCTGACTCTGCCTCTGCCTCTAGAGACCACAATTTTACTGCATTATCCTCTGCTATCTCGTTTTATTACAATTACTCTCAGGCACAGCCGTATATTCATGATAAATTATCTGCCCAAGTGTCAAAAGAACCAACAAACATTAACGTTAGATTAGATTAAAAGAAGATTGCTAAGTCATTTCATTGTTTTCCTTATCAAAAAAAGAAGTTGCTAGGTGAAATTTCTGTTGCCGTGCAGTTTTTCAACTCTTCAGATCCACTTGATGTTAGGGATGAAATACTACCATCACCCAGAATGATCAGGTCTAGAAGCATTCATGACACTATTCATAGAAATAGTGTTTAGAGCGATAGAAGCCTGAAATAAGAAATCAAATTCTACCACACCCATTTTTGGAACAAAGGGAGCACAGAGTATACGACAATTTCTTTTTTTGAGAAGGAATATACGACAAATTTATCTGAAAGAAAAGAAAGAGAAAGGAAGATGGATGGGCTAAGGATGACTCAAATTCCTTAAGTCAAAGGCAAGGCCATACACCATTTGGTTCATCACGCCTAAAAGCAACCACATACTCAAACAAAAGACTATAATCCTACACTAACATTGACTCATAAATACTGAAAAGGAAGATCCTACCTAGGAACCCATGTTCATAATATTTGTTCCTAGCAAGTACATACAAATGAAAGGATGGGAAGCTCACGCTGTCACGCATATGGATAACAAGATGGATAGTCTCATGCAGTCAGCCAATAATGGGCCACTACACAAACTCGTGAAAGCAACTATCATTCCAGAGAAAAAGCTCTTTAAAACAGAAGAAAATTTTATAGCAGGATTTAATGAATTCTCATATCGCAGGACTTCACATATTAAAATATTAACACAAAGGGTTGATTATTTCATCTGTAGATAAAAATAAACCAAAAGAAAAGGATATTGCGAAGAATAAAGTGAGAATAAAGAAAAAAATTGACCTGTTTATAAGTCATGGTTGTAGGAGGATCATGATATGGGTCCACAACTGCTACACGGTCACCAAACTTCTCTGCCGAAGTCCGCCAAATGTCGGGAACAGTTCTCCACTCTGTCAAGGGCAACCCACCATTACCGGACAACAATTCACTTTCCAGAAAAGGCGAGCACTTCCTGATTTCCATTTCTGCAGTCTGGGAACATGATTCGATGAATCCCATAAATAAATACACAATAGAAGCAGTAGGTGAACACTACATGATAAGCTTTCAAATTGACTAAAAACAATTGATAGGTATACCTAGTGCAGATCCCAACTTCTCAGATAAAAGTATATTAATACAGGTAAATTTATATACTTATAGGATGATGCCGGAGAGTCGGTGAACGTTACATTTAAAAGACCACCATGCGTTTCTTGACACTTTATCTTCTCTAGTCTTCCACAATAATAATTTTTGAAGATTCAACTAACAAGCTTAACCCAAAAACTGGAGAGGGTTATGACTTATAAAGGATGGTGGATGGGTAGTGAAGAATTTGAAACTTCATAATAAAAGTCTTCTTTGATCGGGAGATTAGAAGGGTGAAACTTTTGATTGAGAAACTAGCAGTGATTATCGAAGAAAGTTTGTAAAACTTTTCTTATCGGATAGCCAATGTAGATGGCAAATTTTCTCCGAACTCAAGTTATATAGGCTGTTGTGAAAATAAAATGTTGAAAATGAGATTTATCTGCCCTGGAAAATGTAAATGGAAACAAAATCTCCACCTAAAATGGCATGCTTTATACGGATTCTTACATAATGCAGCCTAACCCGGGATAACTTATAGAGAAGAGGCTTTAAACATGCAACATATGATGCACCCAAGGGTATGTCCGGTGGTCAATGAAGTTGAATAAAGACCACACTCCACAGAAGACCAGGGTTACTAGCAAAACAATAGGTAATTTCTTCTTAGCTGCCTAAGTCTGGGTGATCAGAGTTACCACCTAGAGTTACCCAATATCTATATAGTTTGGATGGTGCAGCTATTCAAGTTGAGGTGTGTGCAAACTAACCCACCCGATTACCACTATGATAAAAATACAATAAAAGTTATCAACCGTCCTAATATTACTCGCGCCCAAACACGCTTAAATTCGAAGTTCTGATGAATCCAGACAGTTATGGAGCATTTCTTTTAACATATATGGAGTCCGGTGGGTTATGCCCTAATTCTTGAAAGAGGCTACAAGCTGGGTAGGGACAAAGGACACTTAAGAGGCAGAGACAAGCTTGGCGAGAAATTCCTCTCTATGTACGCAGGACAGTGTGGAACGTGGATAGATAGAAACCATAGATGCTTGATGGGAAAGAACATACATCTCTTGTAAAGTTCAAATATCTTGAAAATCATCATTTTAATGCAGGATGAATAGTGTAAACAAAATAGATGATATGCTGGACTTAATTGACTCCTTATAGCTATAAAAGGGATCAGCCACAGATGACTACACCTGCTTTGTGCCACTCTATCAATGAGATTAGTTTAACTGATCGAAGAATTATTTCAAGATTGGTACACGAAATGCATCAACAATAAAACAGTAATTGGAGGCTAACTAAATTTAGTTGGTATTAACAAAATTACATTTAAACACAAATGGAATAAATGCAATTAATGCAATAAAATTACATTTTATTGGTACTGAATCCAATAAAAAATTATTCGCAGCATATTCATTCAGGAAATTTCCATTATTAATGCTTCTTGTGCTTCCCAAGCTTAAGTCAATTATAGCAATTGTACTTTCAAACCTGGACTCAGTTATAACAAATAGGAAAAACATTGCAAATTAATGTAGAACAATGATAAATACTCCCTCTGTCCCAATTTATGTGACACACTTTCCTCTTTAGGCTATCCCAAGAAATTACACCTTTCTACACTTGAAAACAATAACGTTAAACTCTCAATTTTACCCTTAGTGACATTTAGCTGGAGCCAGTATGGAGGGATAGAGATAGGCTGAGTCCTCGGTACTAAGCCAATGCAAAAACTTTCTCGCCTAGGAGGTAACCCAAGTAATGTTCTGGAAATACATTTGCGAATCCTCAATTGTATAGCCATGCAAATGCCTATGACATGTTTTAGACCACAAGTTTCAAGAAAAAATCTATATTTCTTAAACTTTGTTCCTAGTCAAAAATCAGTCACATAACATGAGACAAGAGGGAGTATAATTGACAATGATTACAACTAACAACTATAATTAAAGGGCAGCCGGTGCACTATGCTCCCGCTATGTACGGGTCCGAGCAAGGGCTGGACCACAAGGTCTATTGTAAGCAGTCTTATCCTGCATTTCAGCAAGATGTTGTTTCACACAGCTCGAACACGTGAACTCCTGGTCACTGGTTACGCCAAGTCTCCCCTCCAATTAACAACTATAATTATTTGGGGAAAAAAAAACAGCATTACATACAACAAAGTAATAAGAATCACCTTAGACTCGCAATAAAGTCGACCAACCCTCCGACTTCTGACTGACTTGGAGTTGACCAATTTCTGCTGAGACCAAAAATGGCTTACCCCATATCTTCCACTATATGGGGTAGCAAAAAGATTGGATTTTAAACTCATGGTAATCATCTCTGTCATCTACAACAATACCCTTTTAATTTCTGTGCATAAATATATTGTACAGAGGGTAATTCCCTAATGCTACAGGAGGGTACTAATGGTGAGAAGGAGTCAATAGTTAGGAATTAAGCAAAGAAAAATGGAGAGGAACAAAGCTGCAGTATTGAAGTATCCGCAGAGAAGATTTAAAAGGGGGTGAAAATTGGTGAAGAATTGATGACTTCTAGGAATTCATTCACGAGTGACGGAATGTGTGTGACTGTGTGTGTGAGAGATAGCGCGCATTGATTAGTGTGACATTCAACAAGTCTGACAACCAATCTACTCCTACAATTTTACTTCCTTCAACTACTAGGAGTACTATTGGGTCAAGTTATATTAATTACCGAAAAGATACAAATATGCCCGTGAACTATTTAAAATAGGATAAATATGTTCGTTTTTAATAGTTTGGTCCAATTATGTTCAAACCGTCTAATAGTTATGCAAATTTGCCCTTTTTAACGTAAACAGTATTTTTTCTTTTCTTTTTTTAATTAATTAAAATTAAAATATTTTTTTTCAGTTTTTAAAATAATATCGCTTTAAAAAACTAAAGATAATTTCTAAAACAATTGTTTAGTAAAAACTAAAAAAAAATTTGAAAAGCAATATTTTTGTAAAAACTGAAAAAAAACAAATATTTTCTTTTTACCAGTTTTTAGTTTTAAAAAAATTTAGTTTTTTTCCAGTTTTTACCGCTTTAGAAAATTGCTTTTCAGTTTTTTTCTAGATTTTACAAAAATCATTGTTTTAGAAAATAGTTTTTCAGTTTTTTTTAAAGCAATTTTTTTCTTTTTTTCAATTTTTAGTAAAAATAAATTCAGTTTTTTTTTTAGTTTTTACAAAAATATTGCTTTAGAAAATTTCTTTTTAGACTTTATTTATTTTTTTACAAAAACATTATTTTAGAAAATAATTTTTCAGTTTTTTTTAAAGCAAATTTTTTTTGTTTTTTCAATTTTTTGTAAAAATAAATTCAATTTTTTTCTTCAGTTTTTACAAAAACATTGCTTTAGAAATTGCTTTTTAGATTTATTTCTGTTTTTATAAAATCATTATTTTAGAAAATATTTTTCAGTTCTTTTGTAAAGCAAAATATTTCCGGTTTTTTTTCTTTAGTTTTTAGTAAAAAAAACTTTTAGAAAAATTGCTTTAGAAAAAAAAATATTTTGGTTTTAATTAATTAAAAAAGGAAAAGAAAAAATATTGTTTCCGTTAAAAAAATGGCAAATTTGCACAACTATTCGACGGTTTGGGCATATTTGGGCCAAACTATTAACGACGGGCATATTTGTCCTATTTCAAATAGTTCACGCATATATTTGGACCTTTTTCGTATTAATTATTTTGGGATTAATTATTTCAATCTCTTATAGCAATAAAAAAAATACTACAACCCTATAATAACTAATCCCAGATTAAATATACTATGATTTTATCCCAATAAAATGTAAAATAAACTCATTTCAAATTTAATTCCGGAATTAATTATCCTTTATTCCACAAACGAGCCCCCAAATGTAATATTCTACCTCTATTTATCTCTTCTTGGATTTTACGGAAACAATTTAATATTAGGAAGGGGTCTTGGTGTAACTAGTCAAGTGACAAGGGGCACGAGTTCGAGCCCTGCAAACAACATCTTGCAGAAATGCGGGATAAATTACGTACAATATATCCTTGGGGTCTGGTCTTTCCCCGCTTACTGCATCGGGCTGCCTTTTTTTTAATTTAAATATAGAGAGAGTATTTAATTTGTCTAAATAATTAGAAGTAGGAAAGATAATATTGTATAGTCATTCTCAAAATAATAGTCGAATACAAATTTTATATATTTTCAGCTACGGAATATAAGCGCGTGCTAAAATGGAAAAAAACCCTTTACAAATACCTGTGTAAAATTATGATGGGCCTTGGCCTAGTAACTCCTTATGAATATGGGCTGTAGACTAGATAGATAACGGTATTTTCTACTATCTAATAAGAGGGACTTAGCAGACGCCTGGACGACATGTCTGCTTCACACTTCAAGGGTAGTTTTGTCTTTTCATCTAATTTTTAGTGTTTTGCTTGGGTTATATCGACCAAAACCCGCATTTTACAGCCTCTTCTAGAGCTTCTCCTCTAACGAGACAGGTAGCTCTTTAAGAAACTTGGCAGATGCAGGTTAACACCGGTTTATTGCAAATTCAATATCACCAATATCAGATAAGCTCTGTCGTCTATCAATTCCCAGTTTCCACCTTTCGGCTCCTTACGCTTCTTCATCTCATCTTTGCACCTTTGTGAATTTTCCCGTTTGGATCGTTGTTTCTTGTGAGTTTTTGTAATGACCCGACCCGTCATTTATTGCTTTTCAGTTCCGTTGTCCCCGTTATATGCTTCCCCGTATGTTATTTTATGTGTGTGGTGAGTTTGAAGTGATTCGGGTGAGAATTGGATAGAAATAAGACCAATAGTTTCTCTAAGAAAAGCTTAAGTTGGAAAAGTCAACCCGACGTTGACTTATGGGTTAGAGGGCTCGGAAC